TATAATTTGAAAAAAATCTGAACTGAACTGAAAATTTTCAGATTGAAATTTTTGCAATCTGAAACTGAACTGAAGTTGATCTGAACTAAAAATTTTCAGATTAATCTAAACCGTTTAGAGCTTTATTCATATCACGGCTGATCTTTTGACATGATTCACTAATCGATTAATCACATGATTAAATACAGCTTTAACCGCCTCCTTTTTAGGTATGTCAGAGTTGATAAATATTAAAAAATATCATTATATTCTTCCTTATTTATTTCTTTCTATGGTTAAAGATCGAGGATATGTGTTATGATATTCTAGATAAAGCGTCAGATACTGAGTTATACTTTTCTTTCTTGTGAATTATTTCATAGTCATACTCTTGCAGAATCATTCTCCACCTTAAGTATTTTCTATTAGTGTTTTGGTTATTATTCAGAGCCATATTAATGTACTATGATCTGTATAAATTTTAAACTTTCTTTCATTTAGATAGTATCTAAATTTTTCTAACGTCTAAATGATTGCTAATGCTTTTAAATTTGTCATATCATAATTCTGTTCACAGGTATATAAAGTTCTACTATCAAAGGCAATGAAATGTTTTCTGTTCATTCTTTTATGACAACACTGCTCTCACTGCTACCTTTGATACGCCTGTGGTTAGAATGAATTCCTTATCAAGATCTTAATATAAAAGAATTAGCTTTTTTATCAGAGCTTCTTTAAATATATCAAAAGCATATTGCTGCTTTTCATTCTATAAATATAGTTCATCTACTTCTAGTAGCTTAAACAATAGCTTCACTATCTTCAAGAATTTTTTAATAAACTTCTTATAGTAGGCCGTTATGTCAATAAATCTTCTTAATTTTTTTGTAATTTTAGGTTCAGCGTATTTTTGAATCTTATTTATTTTATCTGAATTTGATTTGATTCCTTTAATTCCTACTATGTGTTCAAGAAATTGAACTTTCTTTGCTGTGAAGTAGCATTTATCTGGGTTAATTTTTAATCTTACACTTCTAGTTTTGAAAGTATTTTCTAAATATGCTTAACATGATCTTCCCAAGTCTTTGAATATATTGTGATGTCATCAATATAATCTAATGCATACTTCCATAAGATATCTCCTAATACACTGTTTATAAGCCTCTAAAATATAGCTGGAACATTGCATAATAATATTATATTCATATAATCTATACTAATGATAAGGGATGAAACCCCTTAATAACAGTTGAAACTTAAATGAAACTATATTAAAATCATAATAAGGGATACGACGAAACCCTTTTGATACGACGAAAGCTGAAACTGTCAAAACTATATTAAAAACATAGAAAAGGATATGACAAAATTATTTTGAGGAGGTTTCGGCAGGCATCTATAATCTATACTTTATAATAAACACTGTCTTTTTCTTGCTTTCTTCTGCAACTTCTATCTGCCAATAACCAGACGTTAAATCAATAGATGTAAACCAGCTTGCTCCTTAGAGATTTTCTATGATCTAATATATCAATAGTAACAGATATTTATCCTTTTTAGTAATATCATTCAGTTTATGGTAGTCTACACAGAATCTTGTTTTTCCATTCTTCTTCTTGACTAACACTACTGGAGATACCTATGAACTATTTGATGATTGAATTAAGCCTCTTTCTAATTCATTGTCAATCTCCTTTTTTATAATTTCATTTTTCACTAAGAACATTCTGTAGGCTCTTTAACTTATAGGAGGTCCTTATTTTGTATAGATCTTATGTTTAAATGTGTTAGTCCTTCCAATTTCATCTTCTCTTACTATCACATCTTTATAGGTCTGTAATATTTTTTAGAGTTGATTTATTTGTCTTTGATCTACTTCTTCTATCACTATTTTTCTTTCTTTATCGATTTGAAGTGTTTGATTATTTGGATCTTCATAATCTTTCTTCCTTTTGATAAATTATCATTGTGAGCTAGTCTAAAGGTGCTTTTATCAGTTCTTCTTCTTTATATATTGCAAATACTTCTTAGGATAAGTCAGAGTCTTCTAATTCCATTCTTTTTTCAGATTTATCCTTTAACTCTTCTTCTGATTTTTCTATTTCAGGTAATTCCTTTTTAAACCTTATCTTTTCCCAGCAGGTAATTGATATTATAAGAAGATTTTCTTCTAATTAGTTTAAAATATTGACTAGCATTTCTATAATAGTATGATCAATAAAAAGGTTGACTAATAATAAAATAATAAATATGATCACATGATCTAAACTATATAATAAAATATAATATTTTATATCTTTTGTGAAAGCAATGAAAGCAAATTAAAATATAATAAATCATTAGTTATTTAATGGTTTTATTCTTTTCATATTATATAAGAAGTATTTCAATTTTTTTTTTTAACTTTTTGAAATACAAGTTTTAAAACTTTTTTTGTATTATTAGAAGTTTTAAACAAGTTTTATAACAATATAAAGACCTTTAAGCTTCGTTATTGTAGTATATTACTTTTAAGCAAACTTTTTAAAATTGAGATTATTTGGATTATTTTTGCAAGTAGTTATTTAACGTCTTAAAGAATCAAACGATAAAATAAAATATTTTTTTTTACTAAATATAACACCATTTTCTAAAAAAGTACTTTAAACTGTATAAATAATACTAAATTTAATTGATCTACAATAGCCAATCATAGGAAAACCTGCCTATAATGATTAATGTGCTTTTATAAATGGGTTGTCTGAGCATTATTTGGTCCTTCTTATAATATATTTTCTTTTCATAATAATCTATACATGTATTGACATTAGCTATCTATTCATTTTCTAAAATTAGAGTATAAGCTTCAGATTCCATTACTACAGCTTTGACATTCCATTTAGTTTCTCCTATCTTTACTGAAAGGTTATATTTTGTTCCTAATAGTGTAATAATCTTGCCACTTACTCCAATTAGAGTTCTATTAGATGAGTCATCAATTTCTGAGCCTACTTTATCAAGAAACTTCTTTAATACTACACTTCTGACTGCTTTAGTATCAATCATTATATAGGTATCTTGTCTTGCTACTTTTACTTTCATGAAAAGTGCATCTTAGCTTTAGATTGTTTGTCAATCTCGTTGTATTTGTAAATATAATCATGCTTTTCTAATTGATTGATATTATTTCTTGTATTATTCTTATATAATGCTTTGATAATCTTGATACAATGTGTAACATGAGTTAGTATTATTATTTTTCTTCTTACCCATTCAAGGTATTTTTCTTGACTGATCACTTTTCATAGTCCAGCCCTATCAATCCATCGTGATGTTTCTTTATCTTTTAACTTTGTTATATATATATCACAATTAAATTGTGAATTATTAGAGATTTTCTGATGCTTTTTAACATTAAGTTGATCCTAGCCTTTTCTTTAGTTTCTATTAAATATGCTTCTGCTGATCCTTCATTAGGTTCAATTTTTTCACAAACAGTTTGCCATAATCCAGGTATTATCTCCACTTTATGCTTCTTTTAGACACTTATATGATAGCTGGATTGTGATATAATATATTAAGAATATATTTTGAAAGATTGTTAAATTCTGCACTTATACCTCCTAGTAGTGTAGTAACCCTTTTAAATCTTCTGTTACTTTTTGAAAATACTCTACTACCTTTTTGGCCATTTCATCATCCTGTATAAATGATCCTTTTATATAAGTAAAAACATTGGATGGTCTGTTATTTTTCTCTTCTTGAATGGGATTAATTCTGATACTTGAATACTTTCTCTTCTTATCTGTTCTAATTCCTTTATCCTTTTTGGAACAATCCAAAGATTTATGACCTATCACTTAACAGTTAAAATATTAGATTTGTTTCTTTTTTTTGCAGTCATTTTTGAAATATTCCATCTTATTACAATTGAAACATCTGATTTTAAAACATTCTTTGATCTAATAACTGTTTTTTTTACATTTTAATAAGGCTTCGATGATGTTTCTTTCTTATTCTTTTCTTGTTGAATGATTCATTTGATTGTCTCTTCAATTATTTTCTCTTGATTTGTAAAACCTTTTTCACTATTCTTTCTCTTTTCCAGTTGAAGATAAGATTTGTTTTTTTGTTCAAACATTTTCATCCTAATGTTTCTTGCTATTTTTATTACTTTGGTCTTTTTTACCGCTTAGTTGATTGTGGTGAGCATACTTTCTTATATAGCATCAATATATTCAGATTGTAATTCTCTTACAAAGTCCATAATTTTATCAGCTTCTGCTTTTTTTTTGAGTGGATCAACTCTTTTCCATAATTCTGCTATATATTGAGTGACTGTTTCATTTTTATTTTGTTTTAAATTTCTGAGCTTTTGATCCCATTGTGTCCTTCTATAAATACTACAGTATTTTTCTGTAAATAGTGATACAAATGAGCTGTAACTTCTATCAGACCTATTCTAATATCTTATGGTTTTAGATATAAATCAGGTATGTACTTCTCCTTTAAGGTATGATTTTATGATATTGATTATCCTATTTTCATCTACACTATTTATTATGCAAGCTTCTTTAATAGCTTCAAGCCAAACAATTAGGTCTTGCTGTTCTTCTTTGAACATTGAAAAATCTACTAATCTGATTTCTCTAGTTCTGGATTCAGTTTTAGGAATTTTAGTTCCTGCCATGATTTTAATGAATTTCTTGAAGAATTGTTTCATTATATCCTTAAATCTTTCTCTTCTTCTTCTTCATCTTTTTCATTACTTGTTACACTAGTTTTCTTTGAGGAATAACCTTTTTCACTTCTATTAACTATATTTAAGGTCTCATATCTATCTGGAGTGGAACTTCTAGATTTGATAGGTTTTTATGCAAGATTTCTGATCACTTTCTTATTTTTGTTTACATTTGAGACTTCAGCTCTAAATTCAAAATCTTCTTCTTCCTGAAAGTCTTTTATTCCAATAAATTCCTTATAAAGCCTTTTGAAAAATCCTTCTAATAGAATTTTTCAGTGTAGTTCAAACTGTAGACTACTTTTCTTAATTGCACTTCTATTTCTTATTGTTTATTGCTCTTCTTAGCTTACTTCAATAAGGATATTATAACTCCTATATATGAATCTACTGGTACTTAGTCTTTTATTTACGTCAAAACTTTCAACATTTCTCCTGTTTCTTGAGTTTTGTCATAAGGGTAGCATTCACCACAACTATAGTCTATATTATCACCATCTTAGGAGTAATTTACAAAATGATAATTTTCTTATCTCTCCTTATAAATTTCCCATATTAGTTAAGTCAGTTGGCTTAAGAGTATTATATAAAGCTTTGAGTCTAAATCTTATTAGGATACTAGGGATTTTTGCTAACTCTTCACTATTTATTTTATAACCTTATGTCTTGTACAAATTCTTATCGTTATAAGTTTCAAAAGTTTGGTGAAGTCTTTTTTGATTGTCTCTTGAAGTATAAAGATATTATTTTACGATCCTATATCTGTAATATTCTTGACAAAGGAGTTCTATAGTAAACTTCTCTGTCTCTTTCCTAGGTGTATCTTCTCTAAGAATCTCCTTTTTAATTACCATGATAGGTACTGAAGTTTTTGTTAAGAAGTATTCTCTTTTCCAATCGTTTAATTTCTTATAGACTTTTTTTAGTTCTCTGTCTCTTGTTCAAATCCACTTTTTTGCTCTAATTTAGAGAGTAATTCTTCTAAGTCAATTTGAAAATTCCAATCCTCAATACGAGTTCTCAGTTGATTTATTTCCTTTTAGATTTTTTTTAAGGTTTAAAAACTGATTTCTTTTTCAACACTTCTGTAAATTGTTTTAATTCTCAGTATTCTGAGTTGAATCTGATAAGATGCCAGTTCTTATTCCTCTCTAAAATTCTTTGTTAGTCTGTAAACTCCTGTTAACTGTTTCAATTGTTACTTAGTTTTGTTAAGCCTTTTGTTGATTATCTGTATTTAACTTCTAAAATGGTGAAACTCAATTGTGTTTCATCTAATCTGCACTAAAAACTGTTATCTAACTGTCAGTTAGGTGGACTGAAACACTTAACCGATTGAGCAACAGCTGAGTTTAGCTCAAATTCAAGTTCGTTTAGGAGAGTCTCTACTTAAATTCTTAATTCAAAGGTTGAGAAAGGACGTCATGTGCTTTTTCTCAAAATCTCATCACAGTGTTCCTTTACAATTCAAGTTTCTAAGTCAGAAAGTATGAAGTCTTTACTGACTTAATTTTAAAAACTTCATAAATTACTTTAAATTAACCAAAGATACTATACTGACACGAAGGTTAAATAAAATTCCAATAAAGAAAATTAGCTAAAATTCACAACTTTAAAGGTTTTATTTGTACAAGAACACTTGTTAACAAATAAAATAAATATGGTTAAAGGTATATTTAACAACAAAAGTCACAACTTCAAAGGTTTATTTATTTCAAAGATATTTTATTGAAAGTAAATAAGGGGTGACTCCTCAAGAATTGCAAGTTTTTCTCTTAAACTTCAATTTCAAAAAGTTACCTTTACATAACAAAAGTTGATGGCTATTTATAATAAATTTTTTTTTTTAAAACTTATTTCTATCTTATTACAGAATAACTATGTAATTATTTTTTTATTAATGAGTAATGTTTGTGTCATGTTGAAGTAATGACTACCTAATTATTTCATAATAATCCTATAATTAATGACTATATTATTACTTAAAAATGTTCAATTATTACCTCATCATTACTACACTTCTTCCTTCTCTTAGTGTTCCTCTTTAGTATTCCTATTTTAGGCTTGTATTGCGTATCGTTATGACTAACAATTCCATTTTTTTCATTGATTATTTAGTTTTAGAGCTTTTGTGTAATATCTAGGTTGATCATTATTCAGTCAATTTTAATGATCTTCTATATTATACCAACTTCTTGTAGATCATCCTTGCTATATCACATGACTTTTTATTCTTACAGATCTCTTGCGTTATATTGTATAGTAATATTATTAATTTTTATACTATTTTACTAAATTTGTATAATTTTAATTTCTTTATATAATTAACTATATTGTATAAGTAATATAAAAGAAGGTATTTTTGTAAAATATTTTATTTTTATTATTTTATTTGAAATATTTAAAATATTTGAAAGAAAGTATATGAGAAAAAAAAAATTAGATAAAACTCATGATATTTAATTGATAATTACATTAATGTAATATAGTTTTATTTATTATTTATTGTAATATAATCAAATAATATAACTTTATCTGTTAGTATATTTTGAATATACAGTATATATAATATGAATTTTCATATATAGTATAGAACCTTTATAATAGGAATTTTGCTATAGTAAAAATAGAACAAATTTAAAATGCAAAAAAAAAATTTATTATATATAAAATTGAAAATTTAATTTATAAATTATAATCTATACTTTAAGAATCTTAGATTGGAATTTTAATATCTTCAATATTGATAAAGTTATATTAAATTAAATTTATCTAAAATTAATTATAAAAACTGAAATTGAAAAAAATATATGATGACGAATTTATAAGAATAATTTTTTTATAATTTATATATTTTACTTAAATATTATTATAAATTAAATTATATAAAGATGTATTAAAGTATAGCAAAAGAAATACATGATAATATTACAATTACATATAGGTAGAATTATAATAAATTATTCCTAAAATATTAAATTTAATTCCTTTAATAACAATTTAAAAATATGCATAAAAATTATGATGATTTATAAATATTTATAGAAAAAGTATTACTAGAAAAATAGTAGAGTTTACAACTAAAAGATATAAATTTCATTATTATATATGATACAATTTATAATTAAATAATAAAATAAAATAAAATAAATTATTTTATATGATTTTAATTCTAATTTCTGATTGGCTCATAAATATATTACATAATATTTATATAATTTACAAAATTGAAAAAATTTTTTTTATAAATTAATTCATTTTTACAAATATAAATTAATCTTTTTATTTGATAAAAATCCAATTAGTAGATTAAATTTTATTAATATTTTTTGAAGTTCCTATTATAAAGGTTTTGTACTATAAATAAAATAACTTTTTACTAGGTAATAGAAATCATTGGTAAGTTTAGAATAATAAAATAGAATTATAACATTAATGATTTAATTGATCAGCAAAATGTATACAATTATATATATAATAGAAAAATAAGTATGGTTAAAAATACACCTATTGGTCAAATTTCACATGATTATCAATATAAATTATCCAATAAAATTTGCTATATTTATATGATAATTTTTTAAGTTTTAATAGCTATAAACAATTTTTTTAAGTTTTGATAATAAAGAAAATTTTTATTTTGTTTTATTTATGATTTTTGTTATTTGTAGTTAGTTTTTTTTTTAATATATCAAAAAATAAAATTGATTTTATTTATAAATTGTATTGTAAAACTTTTTTTATTGTTGCATTTATATAAAAGAATTCACATTTAGAATAAAAGCTAAGTAAAAACAATTTTCGTTATTATAAATCATAATTATTTTATATTTTAACTAAGTGTTGATCTTGATGATTATAGATTTGCAAATATGTAATAAAGTACAGAATGTTAAAAATATTAAACATATTAAATATATTTAATATATTCAATATAGTTAATATATTTAATATATCAGATATATTTAATATAGTTAATATTTATATGTCAAAATATGTAACAGAATAAATATAAATACAAGCTCTTTATAATTTAAAAAGATAGACTAACAGTTATATAAAAACTTCTCCTATAAAAGATAGCATAATGTACTCTTTTACTTTATATATTTTTCTTGTCTATTTATTTTTTTATTTTTATTATATTTTATTTTCTTTTTATTTTCTTTCTATTTAATAAAGTATTTCTTATTTTCATTATAAAACTCTTTGTGATTACTGCAAGAGTTTTAACCTATAACTGAAGCTGCTCATGTTTAGTAAAATCAACTTAAAATTGATAAAACTATTAGTAAAACAACTAAGATTAGTATAAAACTGATTAAAATTATATGTAAACTATAAAAGAATTAACTCTCTAACATTATATCAAACAAAAAGATTGCATATTAATAATATTAATATAATTAATATCTAAAATTTTCTCTAATAACTTTTTATTAATATCTTTATTTTTATCAATTCCTTCTACTTGATCAAGTGAAATATTATTCTCAAAAAGTGAGGCCATTATTAAATCAAATTTATTTTCAATTTTAATATCCATTTATAAGTATTAATTAAATAACCTTATCAATTACTAGTCAAAATAGTCTAAATTAGCTAGAAATCAGATGATCAATATATAAAATTTAGACCAAAAGTCATGTACACAAGTTGTACTAAAAATAGAAAATTAATGTATGTATTACATAGTATTTCCATTTTTATAAATAATTTCTTTTTTTTTTTTGCAAAAATGCCCAAAAAAACAGATAGAAAGAACACCAACCGTGGCCGTTCGGCGTCGCCTATATCTGATAAATTACCAAAGAAAAAGCAAAACACACAACAAACTGCAGACAACGACCT